GGCTGTCAACGAGCTTTCATTCTTAATAGCTCCCAGGCCTTCTCCAGAGTCCCTGACCACAAGGGACCACAAGGGAAGACAAGTTGTGGCGGAAAGAGCCCTTTGTTGTCGGCAGACCTGGCTCAGCTTCTGGCCCTGCTGTTTTTATGATCTTGGATAGGTCATTTCCTTTCTCTCTGACTCATTTTCCCTATCTGTAAAGTGAAGGAGTTGGACTTACATGCCCTACAAAGTCCCTTTTTGCTCTGACTCCTATGATCTTATGACTCCTAGATTTCCTGAGGCCTACCTAGAGCTTTTGGGTGGTACTGTGGGATGAGTTACTGACCTGGTCAAGAGGAGGAGGTGCCCAAGGAAGCAGTCTCACTTTCCATGTTCTAAATGGGGATGGCGGTAGAGACAGCTTCCTTCCTAGTAGTTCCCCAGCATCTGTCCCCTCTTTCTACTCTGATGCCATTTGAGTTTAGGCCCTTATCACTTTTCACCCGGGCTGCTGAGCCTCCTAATTGGTCTCCTGCTTCAAGTCTCATCATCTTCAGCACATCTTGAAGCACCTCTTCATTCGTTTCAACACAGATGCCAACGTGATGATCTGACCAAGCCATCCTCCTGCTCCAAACACTTCAGTGGGAGATCACAACTGGCACCCGAAACTAAGAAGGGCAAAAAATGCCAAACAGAAACCCAGTCCCATTTCTCAGAACTGGGTTAAAAGAGAGAAGGGGAAGGTATCCTCCATCACCACCTCCCAGTTCATTTCTGGGAGAAAACAAATTCCTCAGCTTGGAAATGAAAGTCCTTCACAGTTTGGCTCCGGTCTCCCCTTCAGGTTTATTACATACTTCCTATTAAACACTCCATGCTAGGGGTGGGGAACCTGCGGCCTCAAGGCCACACATAGCCTTGAAGTTTGGATTCAGTCAAAGGGCCGCACTTGAGGACCTGGAGGGCCACAAATGTGAAATTCTAGCCTAGGGGTTGGCGAACTATGGTCATGGGCCAAATCAGGCCGACTGTCCATTTTTGTATGTCTCTACAGCTAAGAATAGTTTTTACTTTGTTAAATAAAATTTTATTGTATTTAAGAATGTAAAATACATTCTTAGCTCACAAAAAGAGGAACCGACCATTGTTTGCCAACCCCTACTTAGCCAAAAGGAAGACTTGGAGGCCCCTGTACGAGATGTCCATTCCATCACCCCTCCTTCGGCCTTTGAATTGGCTGTGCTCATGTGCTCATGTGCTCATGTGCTCATGTTAGCTCTCATCATCTTAGCCTTGTAGAATTCTGATCTTCCTTTGAAACTCAGCTCCAGTACCAATTCTACATGAGGGGTTTCCTGATTCCCTCCAGCTGCTGGTCCTTTCCACACTCCCCCAGTTGCCATGTATTGACTAAGTAAGTGTATGGGGCTTGTCCTGGGCATGATGAGATTGCCTGTCAGGAAGTAACCCTGCAGTCTGTATTTTCCTTCCATGTAGGTGGGTGTATCCTTCTTCCATTGGCTACTTAGCCAGAACAGGCAGTGTCTTTAAAACTGGCCAAATTGAGACAGTCTCTCTCTTTGCCTCATTCATGATGCTTCCAGAGGGTGATCACAATTCACCTACAGTGTGGGCACCATGAAATGAACTGGGAGGTGGTGATGGAGAATACCTTCCCCTTCTCTCTTTTACCCCGGTTCTGAGAAATGGGACTGGGTTTCTGTTTGGCATTTTTTGCCCTTCTTAGTTTCGGGTGCCAGTTGTGATCTCCCACTGAATGCAGGAGTTTGGGCCATTGATGACTTTGGAGCTGGGATTGCAGGTAGGAGAAGGTTCAGTCACCTAGCTTGGTAGGGAAGCCTGGGGAAGGCAGGGTGCTTGGTATTAGAGCCCAAGGACTTGGATTTGGGACTGTGTGCTCTGTAGGAACTGAGCTAAGCTATGAATCACCCTCCCTAGAGACTGAAGTGGTGGTGGTGGTGGTGGTGGTGGTGGGGATTATGTCACTAATGGGTAGGCAAAAGAAGTTTGTCTATTTGTTATTATACTTATGAAGTAAATATTTCTTTGTAAAAGCTAAAATGACCGTTAGTGTAAATAGAACTGGGGTACAGGGGACCACCCCCTATGCATCTCACATATTGCAGAATAAGTTTGTATATTTATGATTATACCTTTTGAAGTAAATATTCCTTTGAAAAAACTAATCTGACAGTTAGGAGTTAAATGGGACTGGGATATAGGAGATAACCCCCCTTCACTTGAATGAATGCCATGAGTAGGGTCTGGAGTCATCGGCAGAGAGCCTAGACACCCCAAGTCCCCTTAAGGATACCAAACAACCCTGGGGGAGGGGGTAAGATGTAACATAACTGACCTTCAAGTAGTGAGGGCCAGGGTAGTCAGTATTACGTAAATAATTAACTATATGTGTGTGCATGGATATTCACACATTATATAAAGTATATGTGTTTGTATATATATATATATATATACATACATATATACACACACATACATATGTACATACATCTAGTCTTCATATATGTATATATGTTGTTTCCCCTGATCCTTGGGGGCAAGCCCTGTTGTCTTTTCATCCCCAGAGCACCTAGTCCACTTCAAAGTTTGTCTACTGATTCTAAATATGTGAAATACTCTTCCATTGCCTCTCATTCCCCCAACCCTGACCATGGACACTAGCCAGATAGAAGACCACATGAATACTCACTGTGGAAAGGATGGCTTGTCATCTTGAGAGGTTAGCAGCATGGCCCAGTGGGAAGAGGATTGGTCTTTTCTGTTACAAACCTCAAGCCTGAGTCCCAGTTCTTCCTCTTGTTGGCTGTGTGATCCCTGTAGGCAAATCACTTACCCTTTTGTGCCTCAATTTCCTCAGCTGTAGAATGGGCTATCTCCCTCACAGGGCTGTCATGTGTAAAGTGCTTTGTAAACTGGAAAGCACCACATTGATGTGAGTTATTATTATTATTAGTGACATTCATGTGCATAGAGGGTTTAATTTTATCCTAGACTATTCTGATACCTCTGGGTAACAATATTTACATTGCTAATCTAGTTTTAAGCTATAGAATACTACCTTGCATTTAAATAGTGCTTTATGCTTCCCAAAGTACTATTTCACAGCTATTATTTCATAAAGTGCTATTTCAGAGTCATTGATTCTCACTGTAAGCCAGAAAATTTGGCCAGGCAAGAATTTTTAACATTAATTTTGCAGGTGAAGAAATTGCAACCTGTGAGGCTCAGTTACTCTTCTATGATCACACCTGTCCTGGGAGGAGGACCCAGGTCTCTGGACTGGTAGGCCTGTGCTCTTTCCATTCTTATGTTTGGGTCTCCCCCCTTGAGTCATGGGTAGGGTCTCTGAAATTTGTTTCAGGGCAACACTTGAAATTTGACCAAGTTGATGAAATTTTCCTCGAAGGAAGCAAGTGCAAAATCTTAGACTAATCTAGCCTGTAGATCCTGGGGGCTGGCCCTTCATCTGTCTGCCTGTTTTCTGAAGCCCCTTGCTCTTTGAGTGAGGGCCTGGCTGGTGCCATGAGGAAGGATGATGGAAGGCTGGGCCAGTGGGGAGTCTAGGGGTTAACTCCCAAGGGCCTTGATTTGTCTCTGTAGCTGGTTTCTAAGCAGTCCCAGGCTGCACTGGGCAGCACTTTCAAAGGCAGTGTTAATAGGAAGATGGACTAAAAGGGCTCTGAAGGTTGCCTGTGAAACTGTGTCCTGTATACAGACACACGCAGCAGCAGCCTGTGCTGGGCAGCAGACACATGCAAAGGGTGGCATTTAGCAACTTTCCAAATGTGAATTGTAGGATAAAATTAAATCCACATTTAGGGGCTTTGAAAGCACAGTTTATTTATTCTGCAGTTTTTCCTACTGCCCTCATCCATTTATAATCTACACAGAATATCAAAGTGTTCCAAGTTTCAGAGAGAGTGTGGTTAACTCTTAGCTCACATCAAGAGCTAGAAGGAATCTTAGTCGAATCCCCTTATTTTACAGAAGAGAAAATTGAGACCAGAGAAGTGAAATGATTGGCTAAAGGTCACATAGGTAGTAAGGAACAGTAGTGGTACACAGTAGGTGCCTAAATGCTTTTGACTTGACTTCCTGGGATTTAAACCTAGATTTCCTGACTCCAAATTCAGTGTTTTTTCTACTTCCTCATCTAGGCCTAATGTAAGGTTAAGGATTAAGGAGCACACTACCACATGAGATTACTGATTTATAGCTAGAAGGGTCCTCCCTAGTTATAGTATCATAGATCTGGTCCTGGAAAGGCATTTGAGGACATAGGGGCCAATCCCCTTAGTTCTTGATGAAGAATCTGAGGAAAGTTAAGGTGTGCTCAAGGTCATACAGAGAGTAAACTCCAGGGCAAGATTCGAACCCAGGTTCTTTGACTTCAGTGCCAGCGCTTTCTACTGTGTTGGAGTTTTACAGATGAGAAAACTGAGGCCCAGTAACTGGGTACTGTGCTAAGTGCCTTACAAGTATCTCATTTGATCCTTACAAAATCCTTGGGAGGTAGGTACTATTACCATTCCCATTTTATAATGGAAGAAATTGAGGCAGACACATGTTAAGTGACTTGTTTAGGGTCACGCAGTAAGTATTCGAGGCCAGATTTGAACTATGCTGTTTCTGACCCTTGGGGCAGCTAGATTGCACAGTGGATAGAGTGCTGGCCCTGGAGTCGGGAGGACCTGAATTCAGATCTGGTCTCAGATACTTACTAGCTGTATGACCCTGGGCAAGTCACTGAACCCTGTTTGCCTCAGTTGCTCATCTGTAGAAAATGAGCTGGAGGAGAAAATGGCAAACTAATCCAGTATCTTTGCTATGAAAACCCTGAATAGGGTTATGAAACATCAGAACTCTAGGTCCAAGGCCCTATAAACTCCATCACTTAGCAACCTCTGTGAAGTAGGCAAGCATGTCCTGCTCTCCCTTTCAGAACCTTTCCTTTCTCCAAGGTTGTAGATTAGCAGCCAGCATTTCTCCCCACCCTACCCCTCCCTCCCTCCCATTCTAGCTAATTCCTCCTAAGATGTTTACTGATAGAAGTTTAAGTCAACAGAGACAGGACTCAGATTAGGTCCTCCTAACTCCAAATTCGATACTATTTCCAGTGGGTGACAGCACACAAGTCAAGGTGACAGGAAAGCTGATCTTCACAGAACATCAAGACAGCTGGGTTTGTTGAGGTGGGACATCTCTCGGTGCTTGCATGGCGGGCATGGCTGCTCTGAAGACTTCCCCCTTCCCCCTCCAAACCATCTGTTCCCAGCCTAGGTCCTGGGGAGCTAGAATGACTGAAACGTGGGATTCAGAGTGATTTTCTCTAGGCCAGCCCCTCTGCTGACGGGCTGGCTGCGTTGCTGATTTCCAAAACCCTTCTCTCCCTTTCGTTTAGAGGGAGTGAATGAAGACTCCATTGCCACTTCAGAAACCCTTTGGCTTAATAATGTGTAGTCTTCTAGGTCCTGAGGTTGCTATTCTCAGAAAACTTTCAATCAGGTCTGAACCTGGGCTTAAAAACAGACTTCATCAGTACTTGGGTCTCTCTGTGATTCCCGCAGTCTCCTTCTTGAGAGTGGCTCAGGCCTGAGGCCGTGTTTCTTCATCCCGGGTTGGAGAACATTTCTGCTAATGATGTGTTGTTTCAGTTACAGAATCATTACTTTGTCAGCGTTTCTTAGATGGGACCTTCTGTGAGACCAAGGTTTTTGCTATTCATTAAGCACCCTTAAGGAACACTGAGAAATGGCCAGCATGCTATTAGCGGTACTTTGTCCTTCTGTCCAAAATGGGCCTGCAGCTCAGGATGTATTATTATCTGTCTTGAAGCCATGGGTCAGCATCCTTTGTGGAATGCGGTGCTGTGTTAATTTTTTATTTTCTTGGTGGGAACTAGGGGCAGGGTAGGCAGTAGGGCTTGGCTTTCACAGGGAGCCCACCTGTTTTGCTCCTTTTGAGTCTATCTGCAGATTATAGATTTAGAGCTAGAAGGGACTGCAAAGGTCACTGAACCCAACCACTCCCTCCCATTTTTTTTTGTTCAGTCCTTTCAGTTGTGTCTGACTCTCGGTGACTCCATTTGGGGTTTTCTTTGAAAAGATCCTGGAATGATCGGCCATTTCTGTCTCCAGCTCATTTTACAGATGAGGACACTGAGGCAAACAGGGTTAAGTGACTTGCCCAGGGTCACACAGCTAGGAAGTGTCTGAGGCCAGATTTGAACTCAGGAACATGAGTCTTTCTGATTCCAGCCCTGCCACTCTATCTACTGTGCCACCTAGCTACCCTGACTTTTTACAAATGAGGAAACTGAGCCCAGAGACAGAATGGTATCTTTGGTTTCCACAGGGCTGAGGAACAAATGACTAGGAGGGGGAAGATGGCATAGTGGGTGCCACTGAAGGTACCTACTGGGATGGGCTATACTAGTATAGGGGCATTGTGATATGATAGAGCACTGGATGTGACTTGAGATGAAACCCTTAACACATCACCTGGGTGACTGATCAAATTGCTTTCCTTTTCTCAACTTTAGTTTTCTGATCTGAAAAGTGGAGATAATAGTACTAGTAGTGCCTGCTTCACAAGGCAGTTGTAATAAACGGCTTCATTAACATTAAATTGCTATGTGAATATGCATGGTTATATTTTCAGATATTAAGAAATAGAAAGGACCTTAGAGGTCATCTTAAGAGATAGCTAGGTGCCATAGTAGACAGAGCACTATACTTGGAGTTAAGAAGACCTGAGTTCCAATCTTGCCTTTGAAATTTACTGTGCGACCCTGGGTAAGTCACTTTACCTCTGACTGCCTCTGTTTCCTTATCTGCAAAATGGGGATAATATTAGCACATACCTCCCAGGGTTGTTGTGAGGATCAAATATATCAAACATATAAAGTACTTCACGACTCTTAAAGGACGATGTAAATGCTAATTGTTATCTAGTTCAACTTTCCTATTCATTTTACAAATAAGGAAACTGAGGCTTAAAGAGACTAGCCCAAGTTCACACAGGTAGAAGGCAGTAGGGCTTGCAATAAGGTTCTCTGACTCCAAGTCAGTCGATCAATAAGCTTTTATTAAGCACTTAGTATGTACCAGGTACTGGTGATACATATACAAAAAATCTCTTTTCTCAAGGGTTTTACATTATAACCCTTATATTCTTGGCCTCTTGCTACTCTTTGCACTATACTGTAGAGACCCCCCTGGGATCACCTCTTGGATCATAGATAGAGAGCTACAAGAAGCCACAGAAATAACATGACCTTTTGTTGTTCAATCATGTCCCTCTCTTTGTGACCCCATGGACCATAGCACACTAACATCTCTGCTATCTCTCAATGTCTATCCAAGTCATCTAGACCTACACTTTTATTTTTTTTATAGACAGCTAAGGAGATTGAGGGACTTGACCAAGGTCACAGAGATAGCAAGCCTAAGAGGTGGGATTTGAACACACCTCCTTTGACTCCAGTCAATGCTCTATCCCTTATTCCATCCTCTTTCCCAGAATGCCGTACTAGTTACACTAAATGGCAGAACCCCCCCACCCCGGGCCGCCCCTCCCAAGGGGTCTTGTTTAAAATCTTTATCAGTGGACACCTTAGGAGAGATTAGCTGCAGAGCAGGAGGTAGGTGGGGATGGGGATATGGATATGATATATATCATATATCATGGGGAGATGGAGTGGGGTGGGGAGTGTTGTTGGAGCTGCTGCAACCCTGCAGAAAGGAAAGGGTTTCTGAAAGGGAGAACAAGACATTGCCCACTGTGTTAGTTTGCAAGCTTATGTCTGCCTCTTTCTACAGTCCCAGCCTTGACGTTGCAAATCCTCTTGTCTCCACCACCCTTGCCCTGCAACCCTTGAGTCAGCTGCTGAGTTCTCACTCCTACTTGGCTACGAGCTCCTGGAAGTCCAGGACCTTACACTGCTTCTAGCTCCAGCTGTGCCTTGCACTCAGTAGATTTTCCCTTTAAGAGCCGATTGATTGATTGATGAATTCCTCTGGAGTTTGTTTGCTTTGCATAATTACAGTGAATGCTTATAGCCCTAAGGTGGGTGTGCAGGAAATTCTATGAAATTGATGAAACACTCAGCGTGGGCTGCCTAAGAAAATACTGCACATCAAAACATAAACCCTGTCACGAACAATGGAAGTGAAAGTTTTAAAAAAAGGCTCAAACAATGGGAGTGAATTAGGAAGAACTGGGGGACAGAATACATGCAGAATTGGCATAGGCACTCTTATAGCTGGGCAGTCTTGGTGGAACATTGAGATAGGTAAGGTCTGTTTTCAACACTCAGCACCTTTCCTTCCTACCATTAAGGCCATTTTGACAGCTAACCTCAGCCCCCAACTCCATCTGGATATTCCCCTTTATCTCCCTCCTTCCTTCCTCTTTCCCTCCTTCCCTCCTTCCCTTCCTCCCTCCCTTCTTCCCTTCCTTCCTTCCTTCCTTCCTTCCTTCCTTCCTTCCTTCCTTCCTTCCTTCCTTCCTTCCTTCCTTCCTTCCTTCCTTCCTCAGAACTAGATACAATGCTGTAGGTGAAGTCCTACCAGGTCAGAGAGTTAGACTAATGAGAACCTAATTAAATTCCCCCTTTATAATATTAGCTGTGTGACCCTGGGCAACTCACAAAACCTCTGTGGGCCTCAGGCTAGGATTTACTTACTAACTCACAGATCAATTGGTGGGGGTGGTTTCTATGCCAGGAGTTCTCTAAACTGTGGACATCACAAATCCTGGCACATTGCCCCCTGTGTAATTCGCTGTAGGGAGCAACAAGGAGAGGGCACACAAGCATATTATATATAAGTCACAGTCCCTGCCCTCAAGGAGTTTACAATCTATCCCGCTTAGAACCTCCTCACTCCACATCCCTCCAAACCCCAAAATTTACCCATTTTGTATCTAATCCTTTTTTTTGGATGACTATCAGCTAAGGAGAGGTACTGATCCATTGACCTTGTTGAGGGGGAAAGAGAAGGCTACAGAAGATCCCCAGGCCCCCTCTCCTACCTTGTCTTCCTTCCTTCCCCCTCACTGTCCTCTGCAGTTTAATCCAAAGGAATCTTTCTGGTTCATTCTGGCAAAGAGGGAAGTGTCATGACAGACTTAGGAGGGAGAAATTTCTGGACAGGAAGGGCCTTACAGGGTCTCTTAAATCAGGCCTGCTGTGACCCCCAGTGGGAACAACTGGTCCGGTGATTGCCGTTGGGAGGAGTGCAGGAAGGTCCTGGGGAGAGGAGCCCCAGATTTGGACTAGGCCTGTATCAGGAGGCCCTGGAAAGGTGTTGCCAGAAAGGAGGGCTAGTGAAGTAGCCTGTGTGGATTCAGAGTCAGAAGAGCCCCATTCCAGTTCTGGTTCAGACATTTGCTAGCTGGGCTGACTGAGCAAGTCAGTTTGGAATCTAACCTCAGTTTCTTCATTTGGGGATAATAATCTCACCGGATGTTTTTTTGGGGAAAGAGATTTGCAGATCTTGAAGTAATAGAAGGAAGAGCTATTCTTATTGCTGGTGTGGCTCCAGAACTGGGTAGGAAGAACAGAGCCTGGTCTCACCCTCACTTTGTGACACTGTGGTCTTACTGTGTGGGCTGTGGTCTCTGGTCCCATCAGCCTTCTGCAGAAGGTCGCCCCTTTGTACAAGGGTGGGAAATGCAAATGATTTCCTCTTTTCTTCTTAGTGATGCCCTTGAGGACAAGGGGATACTGTCTTGGAAGAACTTGGAGTTTTCCAGATTCTGTTAATGATAGTCCTTGGGAATTGTAAGCAGGAGATGGGGAACTTGCCACGTGGTTAGCTAGCAAAAGGTATGGGGTGGGCAGCACTGGGAAGGGGCCAAGATCCCTTGCTCTGAGGTCCTTTGGGTCCTTTGGGTCAGCCAGCCTCTTGTGCTGCTTGGATAGCACTTTCTCCTTCTATCTCAGAGGATAGGGTGAATTTCTCCACTAGCCCTCTGTCCTATGGCTGTATACCAAGTCCCCTTATCTCATTCTGGTTTTGGTAGCTTTGTAGAGGCAAAGACCACAGCAATAGATTCCTAAAAAAGGAAAAGCTGAGAAAGAGTAAGTTGGCTCTTCTCCTGAGGACAATTGGGCCTGGGCCTCTCTCCCTGGAGGCATCCTCATTTGGGGCTGACAGCATGAGGGTGAACAGTGAGGCCCGGATCGCCA